TTGGTCTCAAAATGGTTTATTTTTTGAGATAAAAATTTTGATCCAAAAGGATAATAATTCATCGCTAATGTCCAATTTTTATTGCTAAAAAATAATAACGACACTTTTCACAATAAAATTATTTAATCTCTAGAAAATAATTTTTTTCCTAAATTTTTCTTTCTAAAACCTTAATCTTTTGTGGTGCTACTCAAACAGTCTTACAAAAAAAATGTGACCTAATGTCCAACTACGTTATGATCCATCTTGAAAATATGAAAGAGTAGAACCAAAAAGAAAAATTTGTTAGTGATTCGAGAGCATCATCCCAGCTTTGGTTGTAAATATTCATAATTAATCACATAATAAACGGAAGTGATTGAGGGCCCTAAATTTCGGGGCTCGAATGCCCCGAAATTCCACTTTAAGTAAAAAAAAAAAAAAAAAAAAAAGGAAAAAAGAAAGAAAAAAAGAAACAGTTTCTAAAAATGGAAATTAGGGGCATTAGGGGCAAATTTTTTAGGGCCACCAATCATTTTCCCATAATAAAATGTAAAATACGAGATTTTTATCTTGTCAAAATTTATTTACAAAATATGAAAACCTAAAGCTTAAGTACTTGAGATTTCACCTTATCGAAATCTATCTTTTTTAAAAAATAAAAATAAATAAAATGTGAGACTTATGCTGTGTTTGGTTGGGAGATTTGGGGAAGGATTTAGAAAGGAAAATGAAAAAAAGTAGGTGAAATGTGAATCAAATATGTATATATTTCGTATAGTTTCACACACCTTTTCTCTTTTCCTTTCCAAATCCCTCCTCAAATCCCCCAACCAAACACACCATTATGTAGTTCGGTTAAGATCAAATTTGATGGGGTGGTTTGAAACTTCATAAAAATAAAGGGTATGGCTTCTGTCTAGTCCGGGATCAGATTGGACCGTGCTGTTGGGTCCGTGGAAGTCCACTAAAGGTTCCGTTTTGATAATCTAAACCGTTAATATGTAGAACTTGTCAAGTACTATATCCCTGTAAAAAATCAAGTTGATCGGATATCGATAGCTATGTGATCACAACAATTTTTTGTCAATCGTTAATTTGTTCACCGTCCAATTTTTTTAATACGAAACTGATTTGATCATATACCTATCGATATCCGATCAAAGTGATTTTTTACAGACATATAGTACTCGACGAGTTCTACACATTAACGGTTCAGATTATCAAAACAAGACTCGTGATGGGTCACTACGGACCTAACAGCACGGACTGGACAGAAGCCCTAGCCAAAATGAAAATGGTAGAATATCAATTCTCACTTTATCTAAAATGATTGACCACAAATGTTTCGAACAACTCGTACGGATAGTCCAGTAACAAAAGAAATGAAGTGTAAATTTGAATATTTTCAATTTAATTACTTTTGTCTCCCATACTCCATACATACTTATGATTTACAAGTGATTACAATACATTTATGGTATATATTAATGGTGTGTTTGGTTGGGTCCATACATACTTATGATTTACAAGTGATTACAATACATTTATGGTATATATTAATGGTGTGTTTGGTTGGGAGATTTGGAGAGAAATTTAAAAAAGAAAATAAAAAAGGTAAGTAAAATGTGTATAAAACATGTTTATGTTTCATATAATTTCATATACTTTTTTTCTTCCCTTTTTTAAATCCATTCATAAATTTTTTAACCAAAACACAACATAAACGATTAGGGTCAAAGATCACTAATTGGACCAATTTCTCCTCATACAAACAAATAAAAAGAAAGTGTTGCACCAAAAATATCTTAACTGTCCCAAGACTATGCAATAATGATTCCCACTTTAAGCAACTATAGATGAAAGGAGATTCTCATTTGAGAATTGATTATTTTAGTTAGTTTTTTTTTAATTTTTTATAAAAAAATATATAAAAAAAAGTGGTATAATCATTTATAATGGTATGATAAATATATTAAAAGTAAAAATTCCTTGCCATAAATAGAGATTTAAATACAACATTGACATGATATATATATCATCAATTTATGTGATTCATCCACTTTGGGAAGATTGGTAAAAAGTCAATTTTTTGACTTTTTAATTTTTTTAGTCAAAAAAGTCAATTTTTTTTATCCAAAATAATCAAGTTTTTTGCCCAAAAAACCAAAAAATTAAAAAATTAACTTTTTACTAACTTTCTAAAACACCACTATAATCGTTATGACATGCAAATTTATATAAGTGTCATTAATATTTTATATTGGGTTCATTTAAGATGTGGGTTGGTTTTTTGACTTTTTAGTTTTTTTTTTAATTTTAGATTAAAAAGTCTCGTTTGGGACGAATTTTTTGATTTTTTTGACTTTTGTGAGATAAAAAAATATAATGATTATATGTTGAATGTGATATTTTGTCTTATTGAATTAAAAAGTCTTTTTTTTTTTTTTGTGACTAAAATAGCCAAAAAACCCCGGGCTTTTTCTTTCCAAACGAACCCATAATGTGGTTTATTTATGGAGTTTTTAGTTTAAGATCTGTAATATTATGATTTTATAAAATGAAAGACATGTAACATTTTTATAGTAATTAGGGTCTCTTAACATTTTCATACAAAAAAAAATTTCTTTTTTTACAAGAGAAATTTCAGCTTTTCATAGACGATCTGAAATTCCTCCAATAATATTATTGAAGAATCTTTACTAATTGGAAAAACAAAAATATTTGGTGGTTTTAAAATAAAAGCTCTAAAGGAACTCTAATTATGTGACACTGTGTAATTATTGTTACTTTCTATTGGTACTTTTGAATTATGTGGCACTTGCCAACTTATTAGAGTTCTATTTAGAACTCTTGAATTATAGTTATGTATCATTGTTTTTAGAAAAAATATATTGAACATATCTTACTACTCAAAATCAAAGAGAGATGTTTCATTAATTTTGCTTTTATTTATAATCATTACGACAAATAAATCTATATATATTTCTTTAATATTTTATATTACATAATAAATAAAGTATAATATAAAAATATTATTATTTCAAATGTCATAAAATGGACACTTCCAACGTGATTAGAAAATAGTATCACATTCACACTATTAATGTGGAGTAAAGCAAATTTTATTTATTTATTTTAAAGATGCTAATAATAAGGCCTGGGTGGGATAAGGACGTGGCCCAATTGCTTCCCTTGTGTTCTACCTCTCATCATTCCATGTTTAGTTTAGTCAAAGCGAGGAGTTATGAGCGTCTGATTTCCCTCCAATCTCAAATCGGATTGGAAGGTATTATTGCGTCTATGAGAGTTTATTATGAGTTTCGTTTTGATAATTTAAATTATTTAATGTATAAAACTCATCGAGCAGTATGTGCTTGTAAAAAAACACATTAATTAGATATCGATAATTATTTCATCAGATCAGTTTTCTGTCAATCATTTATTTTTTTACCATCCATTTTTTTTTAATAAAAAGCTGATTTGATTACATAGCTATTAATATTCGATCAAAATGATTTTTTATAGGCATATAATACTTGACGAGTTCTACACATTAAACAATTTGAATTATTAAAACTAGACCCTTGATGAGCCCCACAGACCCAATAGCATCCTCTAGTCTAATTTAAGACTGGAGAGAAGCCAGTGCAGGTTATAAATCTCATTGGAATATTAATATTCACTTTGCTTGATTTTAAAATTTAAATTTTCTATATTTATGTGCTTTTAGTAAATTTTTGAAAAATTTATTAAATATAAAAATTTTCTATTAAATTACTATTATAAAGAATTGGACCTGTAAATATATTACATGAACTTGTAAAACTCCATTATTAAACTAGAGGTAATGTATAAAATTTTTAAAATTATTTAATTAAAAATAAACAATATATATTAAAATATTTTATTTATTTATATTTTTAAATATATTTATAATTATGATCTTAATCAATAACCCCTGATTTGATTATTTTTTTAATTTTCTTAATAATATGAGTTTTAAAACATTATTGTTAGGGTTATTTACACGGAGATCCCTAAGTTATCAAGAAATATCACTTTAATTATTTAAATTATAAAAACGTATAAATAGAACCCTTAAACTATTAAGAAGTATTATTGTACCTCTAAACTATAAAAGTGTACAAATAGATTTCCTAAACTATGGACGTATTTTTATTTTGGGCTGGGCTTGGACTGGAGGGTTCCAGTTCGGCCCATTGGGCCTACTTTTTAGCCCATTTTCGATAATTCGAACCGTTCATATTTAGAATTTGTTAAATACATTATCTCTCTAAAAAATTATATCGATCGGATAACGAATACTATGTATTCGGATCACTTTTTTTATAAACGTTAATTTTCTGACCGTTCATTTTTTTCAGACAAAAGTGGTCTAAATGCATAGTATCCGTTATCTGATTGACGTAATTTTTTTACAGAAATAATATATTTAATAAACCTTAAAATGTGAATGGTTCTAATTATCGAGAAGTGACTCAAAAGTGGGCTTAATGAGTCGAACTGGACCGGACTGTCCCATATTTAAATTGGATATTTTCAAACATTATTGAAATTTGATGAACATTAGATGTTTTTCATCTTATATTTTCAAACATTATTGAAATTTGATGAACATTAGATGTTTTTCATCTTATATTTTCAAACATTATTGAAATTTGATGAACATTAGATGTTTTTCATCTTATATTTTCAAACATTATTGAAATTTGATGAACATTAGATGTTTTTCATCCTATATTTTCAAACATTATTGAAATTTGATGAACATTAGATGTTTGAAATCCAATGTTTGTAACATGACTCTGATGTTATTAACATTGTATCTGATGTTATTAACATTGTAATGAGACCTTTCAGTCTATAAAAAAACTTTTAAAACTAAACAGTACATAAGTTATTAATTTAAGATTTATTGGTGCATCTCCCTTCTTTTTATATACTTTTATAATTTAAGAATAAAATGGGGTCAATAATCTTTATCGTTGGCCATGTGTAGGAAGGCGATCGGATCCTTGTCCCCACCGTGATGCCCTTTGACCAAAACGGTGCAAGTGCGAGACCCTGTTGCTGTTTATTGTTTGAGTTGAGTGTGTTTTTGACTGATCCCGGGCAACGGTCAGCCCCCACTGGGCAGCTGAAGTTCTGCACGCACTCCGCAGACAGGCGAGAGGGAGAGAGGGTTATGCATAAACCAACCAATCCATGTATCCTATAGAGAGAGAAAGCAAAGCATAAAAAAGTTGCATAGCAGATACGACAACAACAACAACAACAACTGATTAGGGAAAATCTCAGCAGAAAAGTTCACAAAAAGGCTAACGACTCTACTTCCAATCTTCTTCTGCTCGTGATATCACGAGATCGCAAGCAATCCTCGCTGAAAATGGTGGAGATTTTGGCCACATTAGGTAGCAATCTAGGGTTTTTGGCAGGTTGAGGGTTTGTTTTGAGGTGATTGATGCAATAGATGAGAGGTAGAGAGGAAAAAAGCAGTGATGAAGCGAGAGATCGCTGTTTGTTCTCTCCTGTGGCTGGTCATGGTGTTCCATCCTTTGACGATGATCTCTGCTAATATGGAAGGTTTGAACTCAAAAACCACCTTCTTCACATCCATTTTTTTTTTTTGTTTTTGGGTAGTCTCTGGTTGTTGCTATTTCTGTGCTGTTGATTTGGTGACTTGTGAAAATTTTAATTATTATCGGATTGCATCAAGTGTATTGTTCATGGGGTCATGTATGAGTCACTTGATTATTGACTCTCTCTCTTCTTTTTTTCCCGTTTTCTTTTGGGAGTATTGTTTTGGTCAAATTTCTATGGTGGACTGAGTGAAAAGGACCTTGGATTTTATATGAAAACGATAAAATATTATTCCAGGGTTGGAAATTTGTTAAAGTTAGATAACAATGGCTTTTGGCTGTATTGTTAATTAAGGCATTCAGTCTTTTTCTTCTTCTTTTGAACCTTAAATAATTATTGAGAGAAAATTACCCAGAAGAACATCTGCTTTGCGTGTGGGCTAGCTAATCTTGACTTGACTTGACTTGTTTGGGGGAAATCCGATGTCCCTATCTTAATCCGCTTGTTAAATTGTTTCATATTTCACAGGTGAGTGAGCTACCAAGCTCCCTTACGCTGTGATTTGATTGGGTGGGGAATTTAGGGAGGAATTTGGAAAGAGAAATAGAAAAGGTAGGTGAAATGTGAATAAAATTAATTTCATTTTACTTAGTTTCACACACTTTTCTTCTTTTCCTTTCCAAATTCCTCCCCAAATCTTCCCACCAAACACAGGCTTAGGTTGTGTTTGGATCATGGATTTGGAAAGGAAAAGAAAAAGTGAAATGCCTCTCAAAATCCATGACCCAAACATAACCATATTGTAGGTTGGTGCAGTGGATAGGTGGAGTCGTTTGTCTAGATGACATATATCAATATTCCGAATCTTGCTTTGTAAGGAAATGGCCGGATTATTGGAGCATCCCACATTCCTTGTCTACAATATATATAGGGACTACATTCATTTGAAATAGACATGCGGCATTGCAATACAATGAACTGATTTTGTAGGCAAATTGTAGAAGTAAATGAATGTGCTCCTCTTGTTGGATACCCAGTTGAGCATAACTACATGCCCAACTTGGGATGTGTATGAGGGATGATTAATACCCCTGTATCAATGTCATGTTGTGTTTGACAAAGTTATTTCACATATTTTGATATTTTTGCATATCTTAGTGTAGTTGGTGAACAATATGCTCTCTTTTCAGAGTTTAATCAGAGTGTTCCAAAGATTTGGAAAATTGATGTATCATAGTTTCTTGAAAAATATGAGAGCTCCACCTTATATTCCATCAGCTTAATGTGTGCTCCCATTTTACGTTTTTACTCAAGTTGCTTTATATGGCAATCTATCAGGCACATACAATCTGGGACAAATCGTGTTTATGTCAACTCTTGGACATAGCATTTGTCCTACACCCATATAAACATGTTGGATGTAACCGTGGTCAAAACAACTGGTGATATAGAAGTTTGCATAAATTAATAAAAGTTACATCTTTGTCCCATGCAAGATTCATAGGCATATCAAAGACTGTAATTAAATATTCCAAGTCCTTTCAGTGTTTTTGTCCTAATTTTTTGTTATTTGCAATTTGAGCTGTTATATTTGACCCGTTTTCCATATCTGTCCATGAGCTACTTATATGATAAATAAATTTGCCGGTCTTCCCAGTTTGTCTTCTTGATCTAATGCTTTATGATGTGCTAAGAAAGATTCTTGTGTCGATGTTATTGATGTCCCTTCCAGCAGTTGATACTTCTCTCTTGGCTATGTGAACAGGTGATGCTTTGCATAATCTACGAAGTAATTTAGAAGATCCTAACAATGTTCTGCAGAGTTGGGACCCTACGCTTGTGAACCCTTGCACATGGTTTCATGTTACATGTAACAATGAAAATAGTGTGATAAGAGTGTAAGTTATCTTCTTTGATGATATCAATCCACATGAAAACATTTTGAACTTCTATGAAGTACATAACTTTCTCCCAATTATTGAGGCCTTCTATGATGGTTGTTTGTCTCTTCTTTAGTGATCTTGGAAATGCAGCATTATCTGGTCAATTGGTCCCTCAGCTTGGCCAGCTTAAAAATTTACAGTACCTGTAAGTCTTGTGTAACTTTTTTTTTTTTTTTTGGGTGGATTTTGCATTTCATTCTCAAAAGCTCCATTCTCTCCATCTTTTGATTATATTGGCATTCATTTTTCATTCTTCCATGTGTAAAAATATTTCCTTTATTCTAATAATTTTCCTGATAAGAATATGTTTCATTGATGTGAAAACACTCGTTGAGGATATAAATAATAAAGTTGCCCATCTCAAATAGCTTTAGCTTTTAGTTTTTGATGAGTTGGTGGTCAACAATTTAACAAATAAATTGACACATTAAATTGTGTTTGAATTTTTGTATTATGATTACTTCTTACGTGTGCTTGGTTTATGTGCAATCACTCCACTTGTTACCTGAACAACATACAGAGAGTTGAGCAAAATTTAGTGATTAAAAAAAAAAAAAAAAAAAAAAAAAAAAAGGAAAAGAACTGATCCCACAAAATTGAAAGATAGATTTCTCCCTTCTGTGGCTTCTCCAGGTGTTAGTGGAGTCTATACCTCTACCTATCAAACTTTTGTGAGTCTACCAACTTTTGTGTGCATCTGTTTTCGTAGTATGTTATTTCATTTCCTTCATTAAGGACCTTACGGTAGTACTATACCTGCCCTCTTACTCTGGCATGTCTTTATTACATGTTTATATTATGGAGTTTTGACTTGCTGTCACATCACTCAACTAACTGGACAACAGGAGCGGTTGAGCTCTTGTTCTTATCAAGAGGACATATTTTTATGTAGTTGCTTGATGGTATTTTTGAATATGTTCCAAAACCCTAAACTGATATACTGTTACCAACTATTTAGATATGTGTGATGCAGTGTAACATATGTGAAATCAAACAAATGTCAGTATTTATCCTGGCATCTGCTAGTGTGATGTGTGTTTTCACGCTGCTGGTGTTTAAAGAAATATTTATTGTTATATTGCCATACCAATATAAATTAAGTGACTCAAGATGTGAGACATAAGTACACAGGGATAGGTATGTGGTTAAGTTTTGTCTGCTTAGTTCCATGATTGCTAAATATGTGTGGAATTTCTGGCACCCGTGTGCTCAACTGGTTGAAATCATTTGGGGTTGTTATATTTGATGAGGCTCGACTGTTTCATCGTGTATGGGCATTAAAAAAATGTTTATAGAAAACCACAGAATTGCTGCTTTATTATCAACCTTCCCTTATATCTACTCATTTGATGATAATACTTCTTGTTCCCATACCATACTTCCTACATCAAATTTGGGCTCATTGCCTATGGAGTGTGTGTCCTGTGTTTGCCCAACATGAAAGATGAAAGCTTTTGTTGTTGACATTGGATGTATAACACATTGCATGTTAATATGGTAGTCATCTCGTGGTTTTGGAGTTAGAGCTAAACAAACTAATAAGTGGGCATGGTTGTTTGGTTTGATTGAATGGTGAGGTATGCTCCTGATATGTGCCCCAAGATTCTAGTCATGAGTTGTGTGCTCACCATTTGAAGCTTAGGTCCAACTACATTCCTCAAGCCCTTTACCTTTACGCTGTGCTTAGTTGGGAGATTTGTGAAGGGATTTGGAAAGAGAAAGGGAAAAGGTAGGTGAAATATAAATAAAATATACTTAATTTTTTCATAGTTTCACACATCGTTTCCCTTTCCCTTTCCAAATCCCTCTCCAAATCTCCCAACCAATCTTAAACAAATTAACTAATACAGATATGTTAAGCTAGATGGAAGAAATGTGCCTGCTTTTGGGTTCTTAAAGTTGATATGTACAGCTGAATGTAACTAGTTGTTCATTGCCATTGATTTTTTAGTTTATTTTATTATCTTGTTTTTGTCATTATAACCTGTATTTTGAATCTTTTCTTCGCATGAAATGTTAAATTAAATTTACATATTACAGGGAGCTTTATAGTAACAACATGAGTGGACCAATTCCTAGTGATCTTGGGAATTTGACAAACTTGGTTAGCTTGGATCTGTACTTGAATGGTTTCACTGGTCCCATACCTGACACATTGGGCAAGCTGACGAAGTTGCGATTCTTGTATGCATACACATCCTTCACCTGTCTTCTTTGATTCCTCTCTAATAATTTCTATCTGATTTGTTGTTTCTTTTTTTATATTTCTTAAGTCTATTTATATGCACACATAACCTTCATCATTCTTCGCTGATTACTCTATTTGAGTTCATTCTGGGTCATAATATTCTATTTATCTTTTCCCAAGTCATTAATCAGTAGTTTTTTAATTTTTAATTTTGTTAATAAAAAAACAAGTAGTTATTATGTGGATATATTGGATTACGTATGTATATATAGGTTTGTGACATCATCAAACATGTCTTAGATTCATTCACAATTGTCATGCAGTAAGGTCAATAAAGTAGCTCTTGTAACTCTGAATGGGATGTGGGAGTTTTTAATTTAGTTTTGTCTCCCTCAGATGAATTTTTGGAAAGTCTATTACAAAGATTGACTCTTTAGGAGATTGTAAATGAGAACGGATCATCCATCATTACATCAGGTTACATAGTGGAGAAGTTGTACTCTCATCTAGTTCATTTTATCATTATCTGATCCTATTTACCAATCATCTCCCCCCTGTTCGCACAGTGCCTAGAATAACGAGGAGAAAAGAAAGAGAAAATCCCCTATCAACTGTTGTTTAATTATGCAGAGCATTACCGTGTTGCATGTAATCACACAAACTTTTTTTGTGTGGCCTGGAATCAGGTTATTTACGAAGCATAAACAAGTTTTAAATCCAATACTCAAATTTGTGAGTAGTTAGAGAAATGCATGGATCGGAAACTCAATATGGAGTTTGATACATGAATTCTGTTTTCTAGAAAGCAACAGTGCAACACCTTGCTTTTGTATGTCCTAGTTGCATGTTTTCTCTTTGGTATGATGGATCATATCAAGGCAAATGAAGTTGTGTGCTTCTGCTATTTATGCCACATACTATCATTCTAATCATATTTGAACTTAACATTGTCTTCTCTTGTTATGTCTGTGTAAGGATAGCCGGCTTAACAACAACAGCCTCTCTGGTTCCATTCCTATCTCCTTGATTAATATCACAGCACTACAAGTCCTGTAAGTGCCTTGATTAGATTGATCTCTTTTCTGGCTGAAATTTTGGTTTTTCTCTTTCATCTTTTATTGTTTCCCCCGATCAGAAAATCTAGATGTAGTGATCATGTGACATTATTTTCTCACATTGTGGACTGCAGTGATTTATCAAACAATCGCTTATCTGGACCTGTTCCAGACAATGGCTCGTTTTCACTATTCACTCCCATCAGGTTTCTTGTTAGAGAATGTTGTTCTGTAGTGTCCTTGAATGATTGATGTAAAATGCTATGCTAATTTTTTGTGTACCTTCTGCAGTTTTGCTAATAACTTAAATTTATGTGGACCGGTTACTGGGAAACCCTGCCCTGGATCTCCACCATTTGCCCCTCCACCTCCATTTGTTCCGCCATCAACAATCTCTTCTCCAAGTAATGTCTGTTATTGTGGCTGATACTGCTATTTATTGTTTGGCTCGATGAATTTTACTTTGGTTTTTCTTCCCATTTGGTCATCATGGACAAAGAAAACTTTTCTATGCTACTATTATTTTCTGGAAGCAGTCTATTAACTGCACAGATCCATAATTAAGAATTTAGTTTGCCAATGTTACCCCAAAAGTTGTGGAGTTAATGCCTACTAGCTTTATTTGAAGTACCTAATAGTTAATAGGATTTAAAGTATGAGGTCCAATGTTTGGTCTAGGAAGAGCTATAAATTGAGTTATTGTTTCTCCTGGACCAATATTTTGCATTGTGCTTATCGAGGGGGAAAAGAAAAAAACATTTTGTCGGATTGTTAAATATTCTCAAACCAGTATTGTATAGTTTCTTATTGGAATTTTAATGTCCAAGTTTTGGTGTTTCTTGATCTGTGAAAGATGGTTGAGCGATAATATTTGCTTAATCATTGCCATTTCAGGTGGAAATAGTGCTACTGGAGCAATTGCTGGAGGTGTTGCTGCTGGTGCTGCCTTACTTTTTGCTGCACCAGCAATTGGGTTTGCATGGTGGCGCCGAAGGAAACCACATGAACATTTCTTTGATGTACCTGGTTTGTGCTCTTAACTGAAAAATAGATTAAATTGTCCATTTGGATGTGTAATGTGTTCACTCTATGCATCTTTCATCAGCCGAAGAGGATCCAGAAGTCCACTTGGGACAGCTCAAAAGGTTTTCGTTACGAGAATTGCAAGTTGCAACAGATACTTTTAGCAACAAAAATATTCTTGGAAGGGGGGGATTTGGTAAGGTGTACAAGGGCCGCCTTGCTGATGGTTCATTAGTGGCAGTAAAAAGACTTAAAGAAGAACGCACACCAGGAGGGGAGTTGCAGTTTCAAACAGAAGTGGAAATGATTAGCATGGCTGTGCATCGGAATCTTTTGCGACTACGTGGTTTTTGCATGACACCAACAGAGCGACTACTTGTTTATCCATACATGGCTAATGGAAGTGTTGCATCATGTTTAAGAGGTACTACTGTTGTCTTTCACCATGCGATTGGACTAAGTTCGATACAAGCATTTACGAAGTAATACACACAAAAATTCCTGTCTACGAATATATATGACCTAAATTTAAGAGGTACTACTGTTGCCATTCACCATGCCATTGGACTTAGTTCGATACAAGCATTTACGAAGTAATACACATAAAATCTCGTATCTAGGAATATATATGGCCTATGTGCAGAATTTGGTAATTTGATGCTTTGTAGTAAACGATTTCCTTGCTATCTAAATAAGGAAAATGAAGTTGCTCTCTGGAAAACTGTATTCTACTTGTACGAGAGGCGCATTTTTTACATATTATGCATTATTTAACAATAATAGACCAATGAAGATAATCAATTCTGTTTTGCGACAAATCTCATCCTTTGTATTAGTAATACACTTTCCTTTTCATCAAAAGGAGCTAGTAAATAAATACTTGATGATGTGTTATTTTTGTTTTATCATGTATCAATCTAGCAATTATATATCATGTTGATAATCAAAATTGTTATGCTACAAGCCTCATCATAATTTCGTTCCATGTCTGTATATACATTGGACTTGTTTATTTTTACCAAATGGAGCCTTTATGATATCTACTCCTGTACGGTGTCATTTTACTCTTATTGGTTCAGCCTTTTCATTTTGAGGCAAGCATATTGACCTACAAAAGTGAACCCTGCTAGCTGTGCAATTGGTGATGTGGACTGATGACATATTTTGGTGAAATTTATTGCAGAACGTCCACCATCAGAACAGCCACTTGATTGGCCAACGAGGAAGAGAATCGCACTAGGATCTGCTAGAGGGCTTTCTTATTTACATGACCACTGTGACCCAAAGATCATTCATCGTGATGTTAAAGCTGCTAATATTTTGCTGGATGAGGAGTTTGAGGCTGTTGTTGGTGACTTTGGATTAGCTAAACTTATGGATTATAAGGATACCCATGTCACGACTGCAGTACGTGGCACCATTGGGCATATAGCTCCAGAATATCTCTCTACGGGGAAGTCATCAGAGAAGACTGATGTCTTTGGTTATGGGATTATGCTTTTAGAGCTAATCACGGGGCAGAGGGCATTTGATCTTGCTCGGCTTGCAAATGATGACGATGTTATGCTGTTAGATTGGGTATGCTTCATTATTTTCCTTGCGTTTTTTCATGTACATATGGTTTGTCTTTAGGTTTTTATTTTTACTGTTCCAATTTTTGTGAATTAAAGCTAAAATATCTGTCCTTATGTGAGTCTCTGTCTTCCTCAGACATGAAGATATTTTGTTTTGTTTTGGTATAGGAGAACAAATCACCAATCCATCTTTTGAATTTGATTATTATAATTAAATGGTCTCAAACTCCTTGTCATGTTACGTGTCCGTGTCATGTTGTTTTACTTAGCCTCGGGGATTAAGAGGGACCAATGTTTGGATCTCAAAAAAATAAAGTGTATATCATGTGTTGTAGCATGCATTCCAAATCATAAATCACTAGGGCCATTTTTATCCTGGACCCTGGTCATACATGGGCCATTAAAGAGCACTTTTTTGAAATTTTTTCTCAGGTCAAAGGCCTCTTAAAAGAGAAGAAGTTGGAGTTGCTGGTTGATCCAGATTTGCAGAACAATTACGTTGATGCAGAAGTTGAGCAACTGATCCAAGTAGCATTGCTCTGCACACAAGGGTCTCCAATGGACCGGCCTAAGATGTCCGAGGTTGTGAGAATGCTTGAAGGTGACGGCTTGGCAGAAAGATGGGAGGAGTGGCAGAAGGTGGAGGTAGATCGCCACGAGATTGAAATGGGCCCACCTCGAAATTCTGAATGGATTCTTGACTCCACCGAAAATCTCCATGCTTTTGAATTGTCCGGGCCAAGATGACCTAAAGGAGATAAGTAAACCATGAAATTATTTTACTTTTTTTCCTCCCCTCTTGTTTTGCATTTCTTTTTTCTCCTGTAAGCTCGTTGTGTATTCAATAGCATTCATCAGAATTTGTGCATATGAATCTTTCTGGGGCCAATTGGACACATTTCGTAACGATTATATAATGTTCAAGCTCAAAGTTCGTGCATTCAGCTGTTTTCAACCTTTCCAGGTGTTGCATGAATCAAGAGACTCAGAACTTATCAATCTCATGTTTATGCACCCTTATGGTATAATAGGCTCAGAAGTTTGACATTCATTTGTACTAACAAAGCATTTTGAAACATAAATTTTCCACCTCACAAGTCATCTTTCTAGGACACTTTTTTTAAAGAGGCACTTTGATGCTTCAGGCTTATTACTTTTCCATGAAAAATATCAGATAATTTTTTGATGCACTTTGATGTTTGGTTAATTGGAATAAAGTGGAATGGAATGAAATGATCATTCTTTTAACTTCCTTGTGAAAGATAGAAATTTTTTTGATGAATGATAAGTGTTACAATATGTTATTATTATTATTTTTTTGACGACGTGTGGGGTAATTATTTAGTGTTTGCTTCATGGTGCACACACCACTAACTTAGGACGTTGTCATGGTAAAGTAGTCATGGGATGGGTGGACATGGAGCTGACCTGATTCATCCAGTCGGTTGAATAGGAGACAAGATTAATCTTATTTATTCCTTTTTGCGCAACCTCGTTAGTTTGGAACACCCACATGCACATGTTAAGGTAATGTTTTGAAAATACTAAATAATTTTTATTGGGTTTGAACTAACAGTCCCTATTTTTGTATGTATGAGACTTTTATTGTTGAGAGACCAAAACACAGCAGGATGCTGTAATGATATTGATAAAAACTGTGGAATGGTATTTGTAGAGCTATTTGAATATTATGCATCATGTAGGGTGTTCTCACAATTACTCAAGGTGAATGCTTTCGTTTTTGTTTTTTTATTTTTTTGTTTTTTTGTGCTATTTTTTTTGAAAAAAAAAAAATTCATTTTCACAACACAAAAAAGAAAGTGGTTTTTATTGTTTTTGTTTCTGAGAACACAAATATATATATGTATATATGTATTATCAATTCAGTAGGGTTTAGGAATGGCAATTATGGTTCTAATTTAGAACTGATCTGGACTGTTTATATGTATATATATATATATCTAATTTGTTATTTCAGTGGTGCTACATCCCATTAAAAAGGGATCACTAAGCCAGCTCTAATGAGCTGGCAGTGTTGAAAATTTAAAAAAAAAAAAAAACAAAGAGTAAAACATCACATTAATTGGGGCTACAGTATTTTTAGAGCTATTAGAGCTCTTTATTTTAGAGCTCTTAAACAATTTTCTTGTTATTTATTGCCCGACACTTGATTATCTTATTAGTATTCCATATATATTCATAAGTTTTTTTTATTATCTTCTCTTTTTAGTGTTGCCATTGTATAATGACAAAAGTAATTTTAAACAATCATTTACATAATTTTTATTTGTAAAATGATGGCATATTATTTGATGTTTAAGTATGTTGTAATCATATTGTGAAAGCTGACATTATTTTCATGGTTCGGTCCAGTTTGATTTCAAAATTTTTAGGATAAATTACACTGGCACCCCTGGGGTTTTAATTTAATATAAATTCTCCCTTTACCTTTGAAAAATTGCGTTCCCTTCTCCTAGGTTTATAATCTCATTACAAATTATTTCATAAATTGCCGATGTCATGCCCTTAAATTTTTTAAATAACCATTTTGTCATTTTTCCTACTATTTCTTCGTCTTATCATTATGACTACATTGTACAACTTTCTATCATTAAATTTTACCTGAACATATTCTTATTGAGTGGTAATATACAAATATAAATTTTATATTAAATTTTCAAACATAATGATATATACCTTAATAGTGACCTTTTACTTTAAAATAAAACATACCATAAACGTGATTTAAATTTACAATAACATCACTATCACAACACTTTTATGATATTTTTGTATAAAATTTTTATATATGAATAAAATTTTTCATTTTTATTTCCACCATCATTTTTCTTTCTTGTATATTTACCCACATTTATTATACTATTACCAAACATCGCCATTCACATTTATTACAGAATTACTAAATTTATATATATATATATATATATTTTGTCTTTGGTGAACTTTAAAGAAAAAAATCACAAAATATTATACTTCTTAAGTATATCTAGATTTGGTGTATCTAAAAAATAAAAAATAAAAAATGCTTAAAATATTAAAAAAATTCTCTAAAAATAAAAAAATATGAAAAATAAAAAAACTCAATTTTTTGTGTGAGTTAAACCAAAGAATATGGTTGTTATTTCCCTTAAAATGAAATGAACAAAATATCAGTATTATTTTATATGTATAAAGCTTAATAGATAAATATGTCATTTTAATCTGACATGGGGTAAGTATAATTTTCTAAACGTGACGGAGAGATCTATATTAAACAGAAATCTCAGAAGTGTCAGTATAATTTATTCAAATTTTTATAATTCAATTTGGTTTCAAATTTCATGAAATTGTAGACAAACCGAATCATGCTTACCCTATCAAAAAACCATCTTCAACCCCTAAATTTCTTTTCTTTTTCTTTTTTTTCTCAATGACTACACTATTAATTATACGGTACAAATAATTTAATCTTAATTTACCTTAAAATCGAATCATCCACACCCCTATCAAACACTATCTTCAACCCCAAAATTGCTTTTTTCTCAATGACTACGATACTAATTATACTGCACAAGGGCCTCCTACTAGGGTCTAGATGTGATAATATTTTAAAATTGTTGTTTTATACATTATTTTTTAAGATCAAATTATGTGATTCCAAAATAAATAAATAAGAATAAAGTTGGAGCCCTAAATATAGATTAATTATGTGAGGTCTAAGTGGTCACCTAAAGCTAAGCAAGGTTAAAAGTCCTTTTCTATTCAGTTCATGTTTAAAAAAAAAAAAGAATCTGCCGGCAAACATATAAATTGTATAACATAACTGACAGATAAGTAGTTTACCTAAAAAATTAGTCCTAGTTGATATAATTTATAAGAAATATATATAAACTTCAACACCCAGTTTATAAAAAAATTAAAATAGTAAAAGTAATTTATGCGATAGTGATGAAAACATAATATTATTTGACTTTTAGAGATATCTATTTATTAATATGGAGGCATAACAAAACACTATAAAACATAGGCGTATGCACATTTTTGACCATGTCTAGTTCAACTATCCTTGTGTCTCATCTTATCATGACAAAACAATATTCTAAATAAATTATTAATTATATAGAATAAAGTAACAAAAATAAAAAAACTGGTTTGTGTAAGCATGCTTATACCATATAAAAAATAGATTGTAAACATTAAGCAAAACTATAGGCATTGGTATCAAGCACTACAATGAAACTATTAACTTGATGGCAAAATATATATTTTCCATAGATGCTCAACGATTCTACAGATTTGCCCCCTCTAAGTTTTAAAAAACTATAAGTGATTGCATGACCCACACATTTATATTTGTGAAACATGGGGTTTGAAATATAAAATTTAACAATTCAGACAAAATATAATATACAAAAAATTGTTTTATCACAATTAATGTCGATAGACCGACTTACAATTTCTTTCTTTTGTAACTCATCATAAATTTATGAAAATATATTTATTTATAGATGTTTTTCATGTTATTTTTCACTTATATATGTTTGTCTTCCCATATTAGAATCTTGGGTGAATATGAAAAAAGAAATAACAAAAAAAAAAGGACATTTTGGTTAACAAAAAAATAAAAATGGAATATTATTTGGTCCATTGAATTTTATCAGGAGAGGTTTGAAATAAGAGGGTATGATCTTTAGGTGAGTTGAGCTTCTCTTTTTGTTAGTGATCCAACTGAAGAAGTATTAGTGACTTGTTGGTACCACCTGGAGCCATCTTAGTAATTTTAACTGTTCATTTTATAAAACTAATTGAGCAAATCTTTCATATAAAAAATTAAATTGATAAAAAAATTGGTAGCCCCAATAGTACATCTCTAGTTAAATCACTAAGTCATTTCCTATTGTTATATATGCGAAGAAAAAGGATTGAGAGCACAATTTAAGTTCCATAATTTCACGATGTCAATTTTTTATTTGTCACCAATTTAATTATGTAAGGCACAACTCCTTTACCATGTTATAGATGAAATATGAGATTTAAATTATAAAACATTTTTCATATACAAAACTGCCATCTAACAATAGATATGCTAACCAGACTAATGAAGTGAATTAAAAGACAACATAAAACAGGAAAAAAAAAAAAACTTTATTGGTATAAAGTTCGTATCTTTGTCATAGATCTTCCTATATCGAAAATGGAAAAAAGCAAAGTCCAACCCTACCATTGTCAAATTACTAGGGCTTTCCTTTGAATTTATGCTTGTCTTAGATGATCGGTCTCTTTTGTTTGGATGCTTTCTTTTACCAACACTCAGACATTTTTTTTTTAATCTTTTCCAAACAGCATATTTTATGTATATTTTCATGCCTCCTCAAAAAAGGTCATCCAAATAACTGTTAAATGAATTTGATTCTAAGTTTGACCTAGAAGCTTTCACCTACATGTCAAACCCTAGTTCATACTTTTGATTATTATAATATAATTGTCCTATGAATGAGTTTAAAAAAAAAAAACCCATAAAAAATATATAATTCGTATATTAAATATCTAGATCTAGTTTCTATTTTGTTAAGAGGACAGCAAGTTAGTGACACTTAAGTTATTAAAATATATGCAGTTTTGCAGCATAGGTGGAGAGAGAGGAAGTTGCCAAAGAAGAAGCCATATGTCACAATTCTGATTAAAGGGTATAGCTAGAGTTTTACCCTTAGGGCAATGATAGAGAATACTAAAAGTGGTGTTCTAAAGCAACTATTAATGATGTGACATCTATTTTTGTTTAAAAAAAAAAAAACAGACATAACAACATTCTATTGTCACATCATTAGTGGCGGCACTAATTAGTACTCCCACTCATTTTCCTTACCCTTATGGTTAACTTTTAAAAATAGCATTATATTACAACATAAAATTGATTGACTCTTTTGGCATGCGATTCACTTGAAGATAGAAAATTAATAGACTAATGCTATGTTTTTTTTTTTGTTTATTTTATTTTATTATTTTTATTTTTTATATCAAATTTGTTTTATAATCTGACGTGATAT